AACATCTGTCTCTTTCGATTTTGGCCAAGATCTTTCCCATCAGTTTCTTAACTATGCATCATCAGACAATATCAAACATGAACATGTAGCACTTGCTACTTACTTTGTCTTCTTATTTAAATTAACGAACGGAGAAAAAGATTTAAGTATTGCAATGAATATCGACAATCGTTATAGAGATGAACTAAAATCTATTATTGGCCTGTTTGAGAATATTATTCCATTACGATGTCAATTAGATCCTCATTGGTCTTTCCACCAACTACTTGAGCATGTAGGAGAGACAACAACGAATAGTATGAGATATTCTTATTTTCCTCTGCAACGTATTCTCAATCAACATCCAAATGTATCAAAACCTGCGTTTCTTGACATATCATTTGAATTTCTATCAACTATGACAAGAAGTGATAATAAACTAATAATGATTAGTGATAGCCAACTTTCTTCCATACCTTTTACAATGAATATTAATGATAATGAGATTACAAATAAGTATGATTTCTTACTTATAATTCAATATGATCTCAATAGTAATCAACTCTCATGCACAATCGATGCATCACTTGATTTATTTAATGTAGAAACAATTAATAAAATATCTCAACGATTTCATTTAATCTTAAATCAGCTATTTACATCTGTTGATAATCAAATGAATAAATCAATCTATGAAATATCATTAACATTACCAAATGAAGGAGTACTCATGCAATCAATGAATAATACAGAAACATCATTGCCTTCTAGTACTTGTATTCATCATACATTTGTTTGTCAAGTAATGAAACATCCACAAAAACTAGCTGTTGAATTGGATGATCAATCTTTGACATATTCTGAATTGCTATATTATGTTCAATTATTATCTTTGAATCTTCTCAAAGAATCTCATATCTCTCTAGGTGACGTCATTTGTCAATGTGTTGATCGAAGTTTATCAATGGTAAGTTAATTGATGAAATACATTTTGTATGTTGCTTTGAAATTCAACTTGATTAGGTTATTGGTATTATGGCAATTGAAATGGTTGGAGGCGTTTATTGTCCATTATCACCTCGTGATCCACAGCATCGCTCATATACTCTCATAAAACAAACAGAATGTCGTCTTATTCTTGCTGACTATCAGACTAAAACGAAATTTAATGATGATATTAGCTTACTCATATATGATTCGGTTCTGGTGAACGAAAACAGAGAATATATTGTTGACATAAATCGGTTGTCTGATGTCTTAGTAACGTGTGAAGATATTGCATACCTTGTTTTTACAAGTGGTTCAACTGGAATGCCAAAAGGGGTATGTTACTATCTTGTTAAATCAATAGCTTTTATTTATGCATTGCTCTTTAGGCACAAATTCGTCATCGAAATTTGACGGCATGTATTGATTCTCTAGTTTATATCAACTTATTCTCAAACAAAGATACTATGATACAAATGGCAAGTTGTTCATATGATGTGCATGTTCAAGAAATCATAGGAGCATTGACTGTTGGTGCTGGCATTATAATGCTTCATCCCGAGGGAAATATGGATATTGAATATGTAATCAATGTATTGAACAAAAAAGAAATTTCATATCTACAAAGTGTTCCAGCATATATTAACAATATGTTAGAGTATGTGGAAAAGAATAATTCTTCAAGCTTGAGTACTTTACGTACTCTTGATATTGGTGGTAAGGAAAATATTTTAGTCAGTATATAGGTATTTGAACAAAATGTTTCAGGGGAAAAAAGCACAGTTCAACTTATTGAGAAAATACACGCCTATTTGCCTTCAAGTACATCTGTGTGGAACTCATATGGACCAGCAGAAACCACGGTTAATTGCACTTGTCATGTCATAGACAAGTGTGTTGACATAATCGACATTCCAATTGGGCATTCATTACCTAATTATCAATGCTTGATGTTGGATAGTTTCTCACAATTTGTCGTTATTAATCAAGGAGGTGAGCTGTTTGTAGGAGAAAAAGGTGTTTTTGCTGGATATTTTCGACGTGATGATTTATCAGCGAAAGCTTTTATTGAGATCAATGATGAATTATTCTATCGAACAGGCGATCTTGTTCGAATGGATAACAATGGTCTTTTTCATTATATCGATCGAAAAGATTTTCAAATCAAACTGCATGGACAACGAATTGAACTTGGTGAAATCGAACAATGCTTACTTCGCACGTCAATTTTAGCTTGTGTTGTCATTAAATGGGATGATGATCATCTTGTTGCTTATGTTCAAAGTTCTGATCTTAATGAAAAAGTATTACGGGAACATTGTCAATCACAATTACCATCACATATGACTCCATCTCTCTTTATTATACTTGATAAACTACCTTTGAATGCCAATGGAAAAATAGATCGAAAACTTCTTCCTCCACCTGACATTTTATCATCAGGTACTGCTTATGATAGTAATGAACCAATTACTAATCTTGAACAACAACTACAACAAATTTTCAGACAAGTTCTCCATATTGAATCTTCGCCTATTGACGTTCCTTTTGGTCAGCTCGGTGGAACATCATTAGATGCTATCCGTGCCCTTACATTAATACGACAACAGGTGTATAGTAATATTGACATCGGTCTTTTATTTACGAATCCATCGATTCGACAATTGGCCATGGCAATACAACCTTTGTTGATTTCAAATCAATCACAAGAGACAGTTTCTACCGTTGATCAGCCGCATTAAATATATGTTCATCTTGCATCTAAACTTTTTTTACACAGGGGACGGGTGTGAATGTGAGTGGGTATATAACTGATATAATACCAACGCTCACACCCACCCATTTTCAAGATAGTTTTCTAAATCGAAGTTGATTTTCGAATTTTTAGAAAGTCAATGAATAAATCATAAACTTTTAAAATGCTTGAGTTTATTTAAGATCGATTTTGCAGAAAGTAGAATTTAAAAAAAAATTGACGGTATGCTGTAGCTATATGGTCATTTATATGTCAAGTCATATGATTATCTGTATTATGATTACGTTGTACTTTTCACCAATAACAAATGGTCATTTGAGCTATGTTTCTGATGAAGAGACACAGAAACACTGATGAGTTTTCATCTGTAGACCTTATTCTGACAATCTAGAAGATATTTTCTTTAGCCACACTTTAAAGAAAATACTATTTTGATCAGCTTTTATTCCATTTGATCAAAAAACCTATCAAGCTTCTCATTACAGCAACGGTCAATTTCCTTATCAATTTTTGCAAAAACCTATTTATTAAAACTCTATGTCACATTTGAGATACAATCAATCACTTTGGCAACGTGATTCTACGAGATATACATCATACGATAATAAAAATTTTGTGAAAAAAAACTAGTTTTAGTCATAAAGCTCTCATGTTCGAGTATTATTCGAGTGTTTCGTAGCGGCGAAAGAAGCTCACAAACCAATTTAGGACCGATATTTCTGAGATGTCTTTGCCGCTCTGACATTGAAAAATATGCGATCGCCACACTTCACTATTTTTTTTATACAATTATTGTTGCCAGGAGGAATCAGATCTGCATGACTTTTGTTTGAATTGCAAAGAAAATATGATTATAATGTTTGCTGATTTCGATCGACATATGTTAATGTCTGGCTGTTTGAAATAACGAGATTAGGTCTCCGCTATGCGTTACAAGCAAAACTTCGCTAGTAAAAAATACGCACGGATAAGATTACTACCAGAAGCGGCTTGAATAATATTCCGTATGGAAAAAGTAGTTTCACTGATCACAAGAAATAGTCGACAATGACAAAAGTTAAATAGGCTTGTTCAAATAGTTCGTTGTTTGAAGAAAGCTAGAGGCTGTTAGCACTAGCAATATCGGTAAATGCTGAACACTGAAACAAATTTATATAATCAGCGTACCGTGTCTCAATGTCTTCGCACGTGAGGTCACACTCCTTCAGACTATAACTGTGACGGCCTTGCTTGCCTTGAGGATTATTGCAAAGCCAAATCTGCATGGCTCTTTCGAATTCGTCTGACCAGCGAAGACCGAAATAATCATAGATGCGACGCACAGTGACGATCGGTTGCTCCATCAAATCATTGTAGGCAACGTCAAAAAGGTTCTTGCGCTTTGCATCACGCATACGGTCTAGACGTGTGCGAAAATCTACTGTACATTCGATCGCTTTATCAATGAATTGTAGAGTTTGTTTCTTTATTGTATTTCGACTGGCGGCGTCTCTTTTATCGAGATGAACTGATCCAAGAGACCATGCTAAACTACACGATGAAGGTAAGACCTCATCGAGACGCCGATGAGTCATAACTATTGCCGCGTTCGGGTAATGCTGAAGGATTGCATCTAGTTTAAAAGAATGCACGGGTGTCTTCAATACCCAATGAGAACGTGGGGCATCGACAGAATTCAACATCCGCAAAAACAGCTCATGATAGTCATATACATAGTCTTTGTTCAATTCTTCAAGAAGCCAAGTACCATCATCAGATACTTGATCAGATGTAATCATCGTGAAAAAGGGTAGGAAACTTGCTTGCCGCAGAATATAGTAATCTTCGTCAATGGGAAAATATGGATGACAAGCGAAAATGTGCTTTGCTTCGGCTTCAAATAATGCAATTTGTCCGAAATACGATATCCGTGCGTCCATTCGTTTCTCATGTTCAACTGAATTTGATCGTGAGATGGGTGGAACAATGTCGACACACATATCGGTGATCAATGGAGAACGGCAATCAGGATCACAGGCAAGCAAATTTTGAAGTAATGTCGACCCTGTACGGGGAAGGCCACAAATAATCAATGGACCAAACGGCGGCAAATTACCACTAAGAAGTTCACTGTGTTCTGTCATATAATTGAGAACTTGTTTGCAATTTGTATGCAGTTTACCGATTTCACTTAACGCTCGATGTCTACCCAAACATGTCATATGTTCATTACAAAGTATGCTTCGCCGATACAATTCAAACGCATGCAAAATTTTACTATGATAGCCGAAACAGCTCTTGGCTTCTTCGGTCAGATCATTTTCATGTAGAATAATATCATCCAACAGCGGTGGATGCTCCATAGTAGCTTGATCAGATGTCGTGGTCATTGTAGTCAATACGTCAGCTTACTAAACCAGTTGAAGCATTGCTCGTGCAGAATTTGAGACACGGAACATCAATGATACTAAATCTACAAAAGGAATTACGCAGATTTATAAGTGTGAGTGCGAATGTTATACACAAATTAGCTCTACACCTACACTTACATCAAGACATACCCATCCCACCCACATCCTCTATAGAGTGCATATATGTGTGCGTTCACATTATAATTACCTGTTATTTTATGAGACGATGTTATAATTCAGCATTTGTTTCATTAACAAGACTTATAACAACAACAAAAAACGAGTACGTTGGCGAAATAAAGATAATCGGCGTTTTGTCTATTTTATAGAATAGAGTGCATATATATTTGTCCTCATAGTATAATTACCTGATATTGATGACAAAATATCCTGATTTATGGTTTGTTTCATGGAGAAAATTTAAAACAACCAGAAAAAGAATGATTGCGTTGACGAGATACGGGTTAATGGAAGATTTATCTATCGTATCAATATAGATAGAAATTGTAAGCATCCTACCCGTTTCTGCGCTGATGAGTATGAAGATAGTTTTACACTATCGATTTATCTCTTATAAATAATGTAATACAGATTTATTCTTATCCATCACTTATAAATAGGTAAGGACATATTTATTATATACTTGATTGTCCTTAAACATGTGTTCGTTCTCGTTATTCTTGCAATGTTATTATATTGAGCTGATATATGACAAACCTTCATTCTCTTTGTTCTTTCAATGTGATTACATTGTCTTTCTTTCTTATTATAGAACCTTCATTCCTTTTTTTCAGTCAATGATCTTTCCTTGGCCTCTTATTCTTGTTTATCCATATAACACAATGTTTTATGTGATAGAAGTATAGTCTGTGTGGTGGATGAATGAATAAATAAGGAGACCATTGATAATTAACGTGTTTGAGAAATCTTAATTATTATATGGAATATAGTGCTGTGAATCAAACGTATATTGATTGTCATGAGTCTGATATCATTTAGAAACAATACAACTGTATTTTACGTTACTGTTTCATCCTTGCGTAAGGGACTCATCAGTTATGTTTACAATTTCTAGTTTCACAAAGTCATAAATAAACATAACTACTTGTAAAATTCTATTCTGTTAAAAAATCAATAATAATACAAAGAAAGAGCAACAAAATGGGTGTGGGTATGGATGAAGGTGTAAGTGTTGGTTTTTGATTAAAACACCTACACCATCAACTACATGAACTTTAAAATCTTCTCCACATTTTTTTCCATCATCTTTTTTTACAAAACATTTATTGCTAGTTCGTTTTCAATATTTTAATGCTCGTTTCATTTTTTCGGAATCTTGTTTTATACGTAGTGTATTATAATATTTTTATTTTAAATTATGTGAAGCTTCATCCTCAAAAGATTTCATATTAATCTTTTTTTGATATAATTTGTGTTCGAGCATAATCATGTTTAGCTAAACGTAAATGCGTTATCATTAAAGTACAATTAATTGCAATTTTGTATCTAAATCGGATGTTTTTTTCTACAAGTTCATAAACTTCTTGTATCATTTTTATAATTGCTTGTTTTGATAATGTAAGAACATATCCATTTAATAAGTCTCGTTGTTTTGTTGCATAATAATATTTTACAACAGAAACAAAAACATGTCCTGTAGAAATCGCATCAACTGCACTACGTGTTTATTTTTTCAAACGGTAATAATTGATTAAATGCTTTGTATAATTTCGATTCAATTTTTTATTAGTTCATCACATTCTTTAATTTTTTCATCGATAACTGATGTGTAATAGTTTTCCATTTTAACAAATTTGTCAATATGACCCATGTTGATTGTTATTATTGAATTTTAAGATCGCTTGGCAATCTATCATTCACAAGATTTTGTATGGTCTTACAAATATCGTACTAGTTACATCGCAGAAAAAGTAAAAAGAAGAGAAACCAAATGGATATCGTAGCTTTCAGACATCCAAGAAATAAGTGCATCATTATCATTAACTACAATTAATTATATTTATGATGAATAATTTTTTTCTATTACGTACTTTTTCCCATTGAAAGTTTATTATTATTTAATTACTTCAAATTTGGAAACTAGCACATTCATGTGCTGATATATGTGACAATAGTTTTTTATTCAATGCTACAATGTTCCCATGCTGTTTTCTTGATTTATTTTCTCGTTTTGTTAGTTTATATAATTTGGCTATATGAAAAGAATTTATCTTTTATCAACAAATTTTATATTTTCTATTGTTTACCGTTAATTTAAAATAGTATATAATTGACATCAAGATGTATTTTATTTTCAATTTTCATTTCACCGTGGGTCACTTGCTATACTTTTGCAATTACTTATAGTTAGTATACCTGATGAAGTTAGATCAATTACAGGTCATTATTTGTTTTCATCGAATATTTCTCAATTAATAATGTTAAAACTGTTCACATTTCTATGTTATTTAGTTTCAGTCTAAAATCAATACGATGTTGATTTAAATGAAAAATATTTCTCTAAATCAAATTCATTAATACTATGTAATATTTGGAAGAGACTATATTTGATTCAAAAAATCTCTTCAAAGAAATATTGTGTCGGAAAGAAATTTAGTTGCATCCAGTTACGATTAAAGATAAATGAAGTCTATATGAAAAAATATGCAATTTATTAATAATTTAAATATTAGTTTATAAACTAGTGAAAGGCTATCACCTAAACTTACTATTTAAAATGAATCTCTTTTGCTGATTAATTAGGGAGAAAAATAAAAAGAGATTTTTCTTTTTGATCTATGCACATCAATTAAATTATTCATATCATTTTGTCCAAATTACTTTATCTTACAATTACTGAATTTCAATCAAACAATCATTCACAAGATTGATGAAACAGATTATAGTTTACACATGTTGTAGTATAGCATCGATATTTGCTAATCCATCTTTTTATTTTATACAAAAAAAATAATATGAATCAAACATTCTCAACATATATCATTTCATTAAAAATTATATTAACATTTTGTTTGACTAAAACCTTTCTTATTACAATTCTGAAGTGCAGAGAATGTATTGTAATTATTTAAAGATTTAGATTCTTTATATAGTTATATATGTATATTATATACCATTTATTTATCAACATCTAATTCACTTTTAATAATTCAAATATCTAACAACAAAAAAAACGATTTTCTCAAGTGACCTTATACTATTAGTATAGTTATATATTGATAAATATCTGAATAAATATATATATTGAACTATGAAAAACTTTTTGAAATCTCATAACAATTAAATTCAATCAACTTATAATTTCTATCATTTTTACTCATATTTATTTTCAAGATTTAATCTTCTTAAACTTTACTTTATGGCATATAATAATCAAACAAAACATAATTGAATGTATATATATATATCTTTGCAAAAATTCCACATTGTTAGTGACACTTTTCGTTTACCTAAGAAAATATCAATAATAATAAAATACAACAAAACACTTCAATTAAGAATGAGTCAGGGATGTTGTAGTGCATAACAAGTATATCTACTTGGACTGCTAGCTATCTTCAAAATCATTGCAATTAAACAACACGAGACGAAGAATGAAGCATGTAGTGAATAATATTTCATATTGTTTTATTAATATGTGTTGCTCTGGCAAACTAGTGTTACCACCAGTTCGCACAATTTCGTCATCGCAACATGTATTTGATCAGTAAAGATCATTTACCTCTTGGTAAGTTGTAATAAGCAATTTTCCTCGATGGTGTGTGGAGCACGACATCTACTGCGTCTTTACACATTTCACTTGGAGTCTGGTCAAATACTACGTCATCAACTTTGAAGTCTTGAGAAGATAAAAAAGTAAAATAGTGATCAGTCATTGATATTTATAGCCATAAAAATATTTTGTTTCTATATTGTGTTTTTTTTTCATTGAATGCATTAAGGGATCACAACATTATTTATCGAATTACATCATTAGAAAATATGTTTGTATATTTATTATAATACATAATAGTAATAATCAAATGATGCATTAACAATCATTATTCAATACTTCTCGATCAACATTGAATATACTAGATAATTATTCCTATGAATTTCATGCATGCCAAGTTTAAAAAATAATTCACTTCTTATTTTCTATTTTCTAATTGTTTAAGAGCAATAATATTTCATTGGTTTATTTAAAAATATGTAATACGATATTTTTATTCGAATAATCAACAATATCTTATAAATAGATTTATTTCATCGTATGTATTGACAGTCCAAAATACTGTGACAGAATTTATTAAATTACTACAAAATATCTCTGGATGAAAATCAGTCTCTTATATACTAAAAAAGTCTTTGATAAATATACATTTTGAATTTCGTCTATCTTAAGAATATCATTATCAAGTCATATCATAATAGCACCTTTTTCTTTATTAAAATCAAAAAAATTTTTGTACAATGTAAAACCTATTTGTTTTTTTTTAAACATTATTAGTTGAACAAAAATAATATCAGATAATATTTATACTATGCACAAGCAATTCTAAATTTATATTTACGTAAAAATAAATTCTTATAAATCATAACAGAGAATGCTTTATTCGGAGACTATGAAGTCTTTTTTGTAATATGTTTAAAAAATTCGTTATTTTAAAAATTCATGAGCTATAATCAATCTATAATTACATTCCTTTAACATGAATGATAATATGAATTTTAATTTTTGTTGAATAAATATACTTCTAACTCGATATTATAATGAAAACTAAAACAATTATTTATGTATAATATTAATTTGTAAATAATTACAATCATATTATGAATGAATCTTATATCTAATCTTATAGAAAATATCATTAATATTATGTAACTATTTGAAAATAAATGATAATCTTAAAATAAAATTGCATCTCTTATAAATATATATATATGAATTGTATTATTGAACTGAATTAATAATTTTGACTTCTCATACCTCTTTAATTTATTTTATTATTTTTTTTACCGTTAATAAAATTCTAAATTAAAGCTTCATGGTTGTTTAGAGATCAAAAGTAATCGATAAGTTATTTTTTATTTTATTTTATCTATACCAATCATTAAATTTGCTGTCCCTGAGTCTTTAATGATACTAAATTACTCCTACGTGACAGGTAGGAAGAAAATATTAATTAGATTTGCATCTATGAAAAAATATCTGAAATTTTTGCCATTAACAGTGTTGCTCATGTTTTTTGATAAAATGAAAGAAAACAGATAGAACTAGATGCAGAACGCAAAATCAATGAAGCAGAGAACATTTAATTACTCCTCTTAGTAATACATATAGACATATAACAACCTTCTACCTTTCATAATAATGTATATTGGAAAAGAAAAAGAAAAATATGAGTGATAAAGAGCCATTATTAAAGAAACATAACAAACTACTTGATGACAATGATAGTGACAATGAAAACAAAAGGTACGATTTAAAAAAATATAATATCGATAAACACATAAGAACTCATTATTATTTATAGTTTTTCGGAGTGGCGTAGATATTTCAATCAGCAAAAGACTGATGCTAAGAATAAAAAGTTAGATGATGAGATCAACCAAACTACTAAAGATATTCCAGTCGGTGTTTTACAATTGGTAAGTATTATATTCAAAAATAAAATATAAGAGAAAGTAATAAAAATATTAAGTTGAAAGCATGTTATTTTTCTTTTTAATATATGTATATAGATGAATTAATTCATTTCATTTAATGATAGTTTCGATTTGCTGATCGTATTGATATTCTTCTTTTAATTCTTGGTCTGTGTTTCATGTTGGTGCATGTAGTTGGTACTCTCGCAAATGTAATTCTTTTTGGTCGGATCACGGGATTATTTGCCACTACATCATTTGCTGTTGATTGTGATAATCAATATCAAAATTTAGCATCTACAATTATCAATAATACTATATGTCCTCTTGGTATTGGTCTTAATCCATTAAATTATGATCGATTAAATAAGTAATTTATTGAAAAATACTCTTATTTTGAATCTTTTCAAATTTTTCATTCGTAGACTATGCCATTATGATAATAAAACGATTTCATCCACATTATCTCCATTAACGCCTTTATTTCACGACAATGTTATGCATCTTGTTTATTGGTTCTTTGGTGAGTATATTGAATAGGATGATTCGATTAAAAAAAAACAAGCGATTTGTTGTTTCTCTATATCAATGTAGGTTTCAGTCTTTTTACATTTCTAAGTGCTGTTCTTGAATATATCTGTTGGACAGTTGCTACGGAACGGCAGACATCTCGTATGAGTGTTTTACTGTTTCAATCACTTATTCAACGTGTAAGTAAAAATATTTTTTACATACATAATATACTTTACCATTCGTAATCATAAGTCAAAATTGAATAATATCGAATTTTTACTAGATGACTTAAATTTAGTACAGATCTGATTTATTGAAGAGTAACTAAAATAAATGAGTATAACCGATTAAACCAGTTAGAATACAGTTTATTCTATTTATTTCTCTTGCTCCGTGCCAAGCATAAAACAAAAATAAGTAGATCATTTTGGCCTCGATTTCTAATTTTTTTTTAAATATTTCTCTGATCAACAGACTAATAATTCTAAAAACATGGTTAATATAACAATTACATTATGATCTAAGATAAAATAATGTATTATTTCTCTTTCATTCTTTAGAACATGACTTATCTAGATACAAACCAAACTACTCAATACAATACGAAGCTTTTTATGTAAGTAAATATAATAACTTTATTACAAACAATTATCCATGATCGATTTTCTTTACAGTAATATTGAAAAGATCAAAAACGGGATAGGTTTTGAATTCTTAGAAACAATTTCACTTATTCTAATCATGATTTTCAGTATAATCATATCTTTTATTCTCAATTGGCAATTGTCTTTAATTATGTCTTGTATGGTTCCAATTATTGTTGGTAGTTCATTGATGTTTGCTAAAGTATAAATTGTTATTTAATTTGCTAAAGTTTTATCAATAATTACAGGTCATCACTAAAGAAACAGAAGCGCAATTAAGTACATATTCAAAAGCTGGACAAATTGCTCAAGAAGTATTTAGTTCATTAAGAACTGTTCTTTCATTCAATGGAAGCAAATGGCAACAAAAACAGTAAATAAATAAACAAAGATTTCTAGATTATTTTATATTATTTTACTGTCATATTTATCTTTATCTAGATATGAAAAAGAACTAAAATTGAATGAATGGTATACTGTTCGCAAAGATGCTGCATTTGGTACTTTTTTTGGTTGGTTATTTTTTATAAGCTTTGCAGTTTATTCAATCGGTTTCACTTTTGGTTTCATTCTTATGTCTCATGGAAATCATCGTTCACTAACCATTAGTGAGATTCTTATTGTAAGTGAGCTATAACATTAAAATTGCAAACAAGTAACTGAAAAATGAACTTTTGCTTAGGTTGTAAATATGTTTGCACGAGCTTTAAGTTATCTTAATTTAATTGGACCTTTCTTTCAATCAATGTCGGAAGCTCAAGCTGCAGCAGTATCCGTATTTCGACTTATTGATGAGGTAAAATATATTGAATACTATAACGACTAAATCTTGGTAATTATATTTTCTATTTTATTTTTTATGATATAGGCGCATGATGAAAATATCAACGAAAGAGAAATATTGCAAGAGAACATATCTAATGAAAGATCTATTTCTAATATTAATGGTGATATTGAATTTGACAATGTTAGTTTTAGTTATCCATCGAGAGAAAATGCAACAGCTTTGAACAATCTTAAATTGATTGCTCGTGCTAATCAAACAACTGCTCTTGTAGGTTCAAGTGGTTGTGGTAAATCTTTTTTTTCTAAAACAAACATAACATTTTAATATTGAAATTGATTGATAGGGAAAAGTACATGTGTATCACTTCTTCTTCGCTATTATGAATCGTCTTCAGGCAGAATTATGATTGATGGTCAATCAATTACAAATCATAAAATCAAACAATTTCGTCAAAATATTGGAGTTGTTAGTCAAGAACCTGTAAATTTCTTTCATTTTCTTTTTTAGTCTCTGTTGAATTTTTATATATTGAAATAGATTTTATTTGCAATAAGTATTTATGAAAATATTCGTTTTGGTAAATTGAATGCAACACGTGCAGAGATTGAACATGCAGCAGAACAAGCTAATGCACATAAATTCATTATGAAATTACCTAATGTTTGTTTTTTTAATATTTATATTTATCTCTATGTATTATTATTTATATTTATAGAAATATGAAACACTTGTTGGTGAACGTGGTATACAATTGAGTGGTGGTGAAAAACAACGTATTGCATTAGCTCGTGCACTTGTCAAACAACCCAACATTCTTTTATTAGATGAAGCAACAAGTGCACTTGATAATGTTAGTGAAAAAATTGTTCAAGAAGCACTTGATCGAGCATGCAAAAGTAAAAATTACTTAATTACTGTTGATTATATTATTATTATTATTAATATATAGATCGTACAACTATTGTTATTGCTCATCGTTTAACTACAATTCAAAATGCTGATTATATTTATGTATTAGATAAAGGAAGTGTGATTGAAGAAGGTACACATGAAACATTAATGACAAAAGAAGGAGGTAAATATCAAACAATGGTCAAAATGCAACAATCTGAAAAAACGATTGGTACACAAGATGGCCTAATGAATATAGCAAAAGCAGTAGCTGAAGATGAAGAACAACTACGTAATGTGTTACTATTCTAATTATAATAATTATTATATTTTATAAACTTCATTTTGTTTTGTTTTTTGGAATAGTGGAACGTGTTCGTCAATTGAGTGAGAGCGAAGCAATCGATACAAATCTGGTAAAAATAAATATCTAACAACTTTAAAAAGTTATTATTAATATATAAATTTTTAGAGAGCTTCGACGTCAGCAAGAGGAAAATCTGTTTTTCTTAGACTCATGAAGATGAACAGTCCTGAATGGGTATTTATCTTGATTGGTTGTTTAGCATGCTTACTTGGTGGATTACGTGGACCAGTGTTCTCGATTCTATTCGCAAAAATAATTAATGTAAGTAATTTTATTCATATGAATACTCCAGGAAAAGATGAAAGATGTATCTTTTTCTGTCGAATGTTTCTTTTATTTAGGAATTTAATGATTGCAAATACGATGATGTACGTCGTCGAGTATTGGTTACATGCGGTTTATTTCTTATTACTGGCGCTGTTTTTATGATTCTTCATTTTTTTCAAGTAACCATATTATTTCTAAACTAAATCAATGAGTTTTTTCATGTTCGTTTACAGTTTGCGGCTTTTGGAGTCGCAGGAGCAAAATTAGTTAGTCGCATTCGTTCAAAAGCTTTTGCATGTTTTCTTCGTCAAGAAGTCGCTTATTTCGATCGACCTGAAAACGGTTCTGGTGCTATATGTACTCACCTCTCCTCTAATGCAGCTGCTATTGAAGACATGGCTGGTTCAAGATTAGGTGTTATTTGTCAAGCTTTTTCCATGTCTGCTTTTGGCTTCTTACTTGGCCTTTATTACAACTGGCAATTAACAATAATCATAGCTATTCCTTTCGTTATCATGATAATCGTTACTACTATTCAAATACGGTTGAGTTCATGGTTAAAAATACAATCTGATCTCATTTACTCTCAAGCAAGCACGGTAAAATCATCTTGTTATTCATATTCTTTTAATGTGTAGTAAAATTATGTTATTATATATATTATTTGATGAAATGATTATTAAATATTCATTTTATGTTTTGTCTTTTTAGCTTGCTGTTGAAGTTATAACTAATATGCGTACAGTAAAACAGTTATCAATGGAAAATGAATTTTTACAACAATATTCAAATATGATTGACCAAGTATTAAGGTTAGTCTTTTGAATATCCTGCATGTATACATATTTGAAAAAGAGCTTTCTCATAGTAATAAAAAATCGTAAAAACGAACTGAGAAAATAATAGTGAAATCGAAACTTGAGTGAAATTTGATGATATAGTTGTTTTGATTGTAGTAAGTTTATTTCCTAGTTATAGTAGATCTAATTTGAAATCTAAATATATATAAAGTAATAAACAAAACTCCGGGTAGTTTGAAGAATCTTGATTAATTTTGTCAAAAAACATGCTCTTCTATATTGATAATGGACTAATAAAATCGAATATAACTCTCTTTTTTTGTACAGATATTGACTTCAATCTTCAATAAATTATTTTTTGTTTAGATTGTCTTGGAAACCTGAAGTAGTGTTTGCAATAGCACTTGGATTGTACTGGGCAATGAATCCATTGACTTTGGGACTTTTGTATTGGCGTGCTTTGATTCTTGTTGAAAACAATGAATTAGATATGAGCGATATTGTTATGTAACTAAAACAATAACTTTGATAATATATAAATTAAATTTTATTATTTCTTTATTTTTTTTTATTTTTATAGGGTTTCTGCATTTGGAATGTTTGCATTAGAATCATTAAGGGCTGTTGGATTGTTGTAAGATATAGAATTTATGTTTTTTTTGTTTTGATTATTTTTGTTTTAGAGGAAGACGTATTGGTGCATCATTTGCTGCTGCTCATGCATTTTTTGATCTAGTTGATCGAACACCAACTATTGATAATGGATCAAATAAAGGACAAGAATTAGTAAACGAAAAAAAAAGCTATTGTCTTTCAATTGAATATTTTAATCTTGAACTGTTTAGACTAACTTTAGTGGAGAAACAGACTTTAATCAAGTTAAATTTGTTTATCCAAGTCGTCCAACAGTTCTTGTTCTTAATAAACTTCAATTATCTATTAAATCAGGTCAACGTATAGCTCTAGTTGGTATGTTCAAATAAATTAAATCTTCCAGTTTATTAATCATATAATACAATCGTTTTAGGTTCATCTGGATGTGGAAAATCAACAATCGTTCAGTTACTAGAACGATTTTATGATGTTACACATGGTGAATTGGTAAGTATTTCTTTTCTATATATAATTCAAATACTTATATAGACGATATTAATATAAACTAGCTTCTTGATGGTGTTAATATTCGAAAATTAAATCTTCAATGGCTTCGTTCTCGTTTGGGTGTTGTTAGTCAAGAACCAGTTTTATTTGATTTAACAATTGCTGAAAAT